AACCCCCAAAACAGGTCACACATCTTGAAATTGTTATGTCACTAATCTTACTAAGTGTACTAAGTCCAATTGGCTAGAATATCAGTTAACTATTCCAATTAATAAAAACTCACTTATACTGAGCATATCAGACCAAACGAAGGTACCTTACCCTTACCTAGATAATGTCTCAGATCTTTGCCGCAATATACCCGGACTTAGACTGTACTCCAGTTCAAACAAGTATGCTGTACTATAAGAACAGAGATTGTTACCCGGCGTCGTTCAATTGTTATACTCTAGGCCTATACCTATGTTTAATTTTTCTATGATTTGTACTGTTTATCAGTTTTAAACCCATATTTTTTCATATTAAACCCAAAAAAAAAAAAAAAAAAAAAAGCAGCCTAACCTAATATACACTAAATTTTGCCCTGTCTAAAACCTACTATGACGGATCCATAGTCAAAAGCGGACCAAATTTCCAAGCTCCATCGTGGCCATCTTGTCGGACAAGATCCGGATATCCCCCCCAGATACGCCAGAACTTTTGTAGACCCACAGTTGATGATCTTCTGCTCCTTGAAGCTTCTGCTGAGATGGTCGTTCTGATGCCCTCCAGGGAATGTTGGCGCAGTTTAGCAAACGAGCTCTGTTTTCCTTTTCGAATCCTGTCGTTCCTCGAGGTCCATATGGCCCATAGTACAGAGGCTCTTACTACCTCCCCTGCATACATGCGTGTTTTGTCTTCTCGACCCACTGATACAACTGCCCCCAACAGGATGGCTGTTGTATCGTCCTCAGACACCGCAAGGGGGGTTTTCTCCGCCATCTCACCCTCCCACCATTGCCACAGTTCCCTGACCTGTGGGCATTGCACAAACAGGTGGGGAATCGACTCCATCTGGCCGCAGGCTGCACAGCCTGTATCGAGGAACTGGCTCTTGCTCGCTTGCCACTGCGTAGTGGGGATAGCCAAGTGATAGATTGACCATAGCAATGCAGCCTGTTTCTGGTTAGTGAATGCTTTCAGCAAAGCATTCTGTTCTCGCCAGACACTAGCTTTCCATCTGTGCAGCTTGGTATCTGGCACCCATCCACGCTTGTACCATCTGCCCACAAGGTCCTCTCGTATGTCCTCCTTAGGGAGCAAGGAGCGGTACATCATCTTCGTGGTAACCTGGTGGAGAGGGGTTCTTCTGAGGTGATGGTTCTACCTAGGCCAGGACCATTCTTTTGGGTCGACTGACAGTTGTCGCCTAGTCCTTCGTACACAGAAAGGGAGGTAATCCTCAGTTGACTCCCCCACTCTACCTCCCTTAGATACTGCGACAGTCTCAAAATCAGTTCTGCAGATCGTGGTCTTCCCTATACCTGCACAAGGCCTCATTGAAGAGCCCAGTCCCTCGTAGCCTGAATCCACCTCCCATTGCTGGGTGTCTACCTCATGCCCATTCA